AAAAATGGGGTATTAAATTAAAGCGTTTGGCCTGTAGATGTGCAAACTGGTTCTCTCTAATTCAGCACACTTCTTGATATAACGATGATCCGTTTATGTGCCTAGGATATCTGTGGAGCTTAAACAATGTTGCACTTCTTAAATAATGGTTCTTTATTAATTCTCATTTTCGTTGTTGGTGTTTCCGACAGGGTAGGAGTATGATGTAATGTGGAACGATTTTCCGTCATCCCTTGTCAAATTTGGTTTGGAGACAAACCGGTTTCGGCGTTGTGCCATCTTCAGTGTCATTTTTCGTTCGGAGACGAACGCCGAAACCGGTTTGTCTCCAAACCAAATTTGACAAGGGATGACGGAAAATCGTTCCACATTACATCACACTCCTACCTTGTCGGAAATACCAACAACAAAAATGAGAATAATTAGAAACTTAAATAAATATTTTGACGCTAATAAGAGTAATGGGATGTACTAAGTCCACGGAATAGTTCCCACAAAGAGAAGCAATCAAGAACGTAGATACTGAAGACCACCCAGATTGAGAAGTGTCTATATCATTATAGATGAAAGTTCCAACTACGGTTTCAAAACACCACGTTAATGCCGCACAAACTGATATTTTTATGCAAAAAAATATGTTAAAATAGGAAAATTAGTAAAAAAGATTTTTCACAAATAATACTTCACGAACTCACCGACAAATGCATAGAAAAACCTTTATAAAAGTAGCCAATGCCGTAACCAATTAAAAGTGACAGCTAATGCCGTACGATTCGATGTTTTGAGGCAAAAACACTTTTCAGTAAAAAAGATTTTGCACCAAGAATACTTCCAAGGACTCACCGACGGATAATTTTATGAAGAGATGAAATTAGATACATGAAATCAGCAACGTGAATACAAAAACGCAACACGCGATATTAATGGGAGCCCTGCCAGATGTACTGATTTTCAGGGGTGAAAATGGTTGTACGGAGTCAACGTACGGATTTTTAGCTTTCCGTCAAGATGTACGGATCTTTCGAGTGTTTTTTTCATATTGTAAAAATTGGCCTGTTTTACACATATCTCATAGGTTTCTTATAGTTCCTCAACCTTTCATGTTTTTACTAAAAAATCCGTTATTTTCGTATTTGAGGGACTTATCTATTAACAGGTTGAATATTTTTCACCCGATTTTACAAACCAAGCATGAGAAGAAGATTTAATAATAATAATAGATTGGCGCTTACACATATGTTAGTGTTTGGCCGAGCTTCTCCTCCGATTTGTGGCGTGCGCCTTGATGTTGTCACACAAAGGGGAGGGACCTACAGTTTAACGCCGACTCCGAACGGCGATCGTATTTTTCTAAAAAGCTGTTTTTCATGGCAGAATATTATTTTTATTTTTTTGATGTTGGTCGGAAACTGGGCTCCAACCTAGGCTCTGCGGAATGGTAGCGCACACTGCTAACCACTACATCGCAGCGGCCGCTATTTTATACATGAACGATTTTCTGCTCACTATTGTAGTCATGTTAAAAAATAATTACAACTACAATACATTGAGTCACCCACCCACTCAATTGCATATACTGATTTGAAATTAAAAATATTATTTTCTGAAAATAGCCCCACGCTTAAAGCACACATACAGACATGCACATGTACATACGTGTGGGATGTGGGAATATGCAGTATAGATTTGCTTAGGTTTGCCTGTTGGCGGCGGAAATTACAGCAGTTGATCTCTCAAATGCATTGGAACTATAAATATCATTGCTATTCTGGGGCGTTCGCTGCCGTATTGGGAATGCAGGAAATTATTGCGAGTTGTCGTGGAAACTATGTATGAGTGTATTATGCATTCAATGCGAATTCATACTGATTAAAGTAATACATTTTACATATGTATGTATGTAGTTATTGAGAAAATATCTCAACAAAAACTGTCTATTTATATATGTGGAGTCTAACGTCTGAAGGATACATGAATTATTTTTTTTTAAATCAACGAATTGAAAGACTTCTTTAAAACAAATGCAATGAGTAAATGTTTCGAATTTGTATACTCTTTGTGCTCAAAAAAACAATTTGTGTCTTGGAAGTGTGAAAAAGCATTTCGTCGATGTTTTTGCAAAACCGCCCATTGACCAGCCCTGCAGTGAAAAATTATCAATTGTTAAAACTAACCAACTTATAGTTAGCTTTTTGGCGAGATTTCGATTAATACCTCACTTTTAATTAGCTATGACAAAACCAACTTAAAGTGAATTGTAAAGTCGTGCAGGAGTCATGCAGACGCAATCGGGAGTTGGTTTTCTTTACAAGTTTCTATTAAATATCCTCATACAAAAATTACTTTCAATACACTTTTTTTCTGAACTTCGCAGATTCTTTTTCATATTCAGGACAAATAAATGGAAGATCGAAATTTTATACTATCATTTTGAAGTTATGTCTGACGGTGTTCGAATATGGGGCACCCCAGGGCAGAATATGTAAACAAATATGAAATGTAATAAAATAAAGTAAATAAATAAGTAAATAAAAAAGTAAAAAAACCAAAAAAAAACATTTAGTTTTTCTTATTGATATTTTATGTCCAAAAGTAGTTAGTTACAAGTTAGTTGACATGTAATGCAGAGGTATCCAGGTCTGACTTTTTTGCGGCCATCGCCCCACAAAAGTAGTTAGCTTTTTCGAACAAAATACACAGTTAATAGTTAGCACTAGTGTTCGCGTAAACAGACTAAAGTTAGGTATAAGCTAACGTCACTCCCTGCAGGGAGTTGCAAAACCGCCTAAATCGCCGTTGTGGCAAAAACGAGATTTGGTAACCCTGAACTCCAGGCATCGAGATTTATGCATAAAAATCGGTAAATCGTTATTAAAACAACAGATTTGTTAAATAATAGCTAGAGAAAACATTTTCACCAACTGTTCACGTTCATGATTTTCAGTAACGCATTTATCTTCTAATATTACGATTTGGTGGTTGTCAGGAGGCATATTTCCATTGCAGTAATAGTTTCAGTGCGTTTGAACACTTCCGGAGATATGCAGTATGAAAAATTCGGTTTGTGCCACGTCCCCTTTTCCAATAACCGAAATTTTCCTATGAGTATGCGATTAATTTCATATATCTCCATACCAACTTCCAGTAGTCTACCATGAACACTTCCAGATTTAATCAGTATGAAAAATTCGGTTTGTATGGGAGGTGCCACGCCTCTTTTTCCAATAACCACAATTTTTCTCCATGAGTATGCGACTATTTTCATATATCTCCATAGCATGTTCGAGTACTCTACCATGAACACTTCCAGATTTATGCAATATGAAAAGTTCGGTTTAAATGGGAAGTACCACGTCCCCTGCACCTAGCGGTGTGAAATATACTTTACATCCGATTTTCATACCTACCATATATACACAACAAATCTCATAAAGATCGGTCGAGCCGTTTAGGAGGAGTTCGACCACAAACACCGGGACACGAGATTTTTATATGTTAGACCATACTATTTGCATATACAATTTTTTTTTATAAGTGAACATAGGCGAGCATTCGAGTATAAGCTTTGAACATGATCGCTCCAAACTAAAATAAGACTCGTATGTTTAAGAAATATACGAAAATAGATTTTTTCGTTTAGAAATATTTGCATACATATTTATAAATACTATAAATATTTAGTTATCTTTTATTAATGTTTTTATTGCTTTCTGTTCATTTACAGTTCCAACAACAATGTCTTTAGCCAGTGTACATGGACCTCAATTCACGGCTATTTACAGCCCATTGGGGTAAGTTGAGGAATTTTAAGTACGAACAAACAGTTGTAGGCAACTATATAAAGACCACCCAATATTTTCCATGTCTCATAGCATGCGAGTTTTTCCCTCTTTAACGAATAATTTTCAGTTGAAATGACACTTTTAACTCATGGGACCTCAAACATTTTTAAGCTACCCAAACCACAATATTAAAATTTTTAGAAATATTTTAAATTTGGAAATGCCAAAAATTTAATTCGGTTGCGAAAAGGGCAACTACATCCCGTAGAGCAGTGCTCGTCAAACTTTTGAGTGTGACGGACCGGCTGCAGTTTTTCTATTACGTCGGGGACCGGTACCTTTTTTTATTGATTATTTTTCGTTTACGATCATCTCACATATGTATTAAAATTTGTTTAAATGAATTTCTTTATTAGCCGGGTGTCTATATATGACCTATTACCATTTAATGATAGCAGATATTAGCGATTTTTTATGAATGTTTAACAAATTTAAGTTGTTTTTATTATACAAGTTGTATATAGCCTCATTAAACAGTAATATAAAACATCAAAAAATCGTTGTCCATTTCGCGACGCCCTTTGCGGACCGGCGACTTATGGCTTACGGACCGGCACCGGTCCGCGGACCACCACTTTGGCGAGCACTGCCGTAGAGGAACTTAAACAAAAAGAGATTTTTGAAATATACACACGAATGGTATTTAACACTAATAAAAGCAGTAATTCAATAACGAAAGCCTGCCTTCCTTTAATTGTTATCGCTTTGCTTTGCTCTAACAAAGAAATTGCAACGTGTTTTATTATTTAGCGTCTCTTTGTTACATTGCGCTGTTTCTAACTAATTTTTAAATGAAAAAACATATTGCAAATAAGTATATAGTGAGAATAAATATTTCTTATATACTTACTACTTATACTACACGCCAACAAATGTACATATGCACACCCATACATATTACTCGTAGTATATACATAATTTCTATGCCACGACCAGTGTTGCCGCGAATCGTTTTTAGTGGTAGCCAAATTCCTTTAAAAAAAAGGGGCTAAAAATGAGCTAAAAAAGTCGTTGTGGCTAAAAATGGTAGCTAAAATTTTCTACTTACATATACATATATGCGTATACACGCAAACATTATCAATAAGTAATGGTATAGAAAAACAATGAACTCTGGAAAAAAAGCAAATATTTTATCCAACCAAAAACCTTTTTGTATAAAAGGGGTATACGCCACCAGCTTGCTGGCTCCATCAAATGATTGTACCATCAGGCTCGAAGCAAATAACTTACCAGCATGCTGGTACAATATTCATTTCTTTACAAATTTGTCTTTTTTTTTAATTCACAACTGCAATATCGGGAACAAATACAGCTTTGACTCATATAGTGGAAGAAATTTCCGCCAAAATACTTTTTACTTAGAAAATTTCACTAATTTCACCACTCACGACACCAGCATGCTGGTACAATCATAAAATTTTCAAATAGTTTTTGAAGTCGCACCAGCAGCTGGTTTTATCACACCACAAGACATACATGGTCAATGGACTTGATGGGCCATTTAACAAATTAAGCATATTAAGGGCCGTAAATTGTATCTATTTTAAACTATAGTTAAATCGTTAATAGATAAGTTAACAGCCTTACTTACTAACACTTTTACAGTATGTATGTATAAAAACGTAAGGAACATACAATACATATATGTATATACAAATATCAGTATTTCTTAGTTTAAAAATTCATCTCTTACATAAATGAAAAAAAGAGATCAAATTAAGTATATACAACTTTTTCATGCCAAGTATTAATAAATTCTCCAAAGGGCGAAAAAAAGGGCTAGGGCCAATTTTAAATTTATGTTGCCTTAAAAAGTATGTGGTAGCTAAATCTAGCCACCAAAGGGCTAAAACGGCAACACTGGCCACGACAAGGCACAGCTTTACTGCCGCTTGTCACGCTAGTATCGTCGTCTTGCTATTGCATTTCACGGTCGTGCCGCCTTCCTCCTGTACTTGTAGTAGTAGTACATGCATAACTGCAACCAGTAGTCTGTGCAGCCGTCGCGACCAATACCTGGCGCCAACCCATCATCCATATTTATAAACGGCACATGAAAGTGGATTTGTTGATTAATGCAGAAATGAAATACTCGAATCGCGTGTTTATTTAATTTTTATATTTAACTACATACTTTGCTTCCTGGCCGATGGTTGCAGAGGATAATTCAAATGCCGTTTATGAAATGCGCGTTTCCGCGCTGCTGATTAGTAGTTTATGAACAGAAAATAAAAATGTGGCAAAGAAATCTAGTGAAGAGTGAACTCTAGTATAGGTGTATGCCGCCTGATTTTATCAGAGATTTTCATTGGCCTCAGCAGTAATTCGCTTTTGCTAGTTAGCATTTCATTTTTTTCATGACAGCGAAGTTGCCACTCGCAGCACATTTTTAAAATAGCTAAAACTGTTCATAGCCAACAATTCGATTCCGTATCGAAAGATATGTGCGTATTAATTATTATTTTTTTTATATATTTTTGTCCTTACAGACGCAGCAGTATCAGCATGTCGTCGTCGTTGTCCGACTTAGTCGGTAGTCCGTTGGAAATTTCCGTGGACAACGTACTCACCATTGAAGAGCTGCGTCAACATATGGGCTCCTGTTTTACATGTGGTGTCTCCTGGACCGATGACCACGTTTCGCTCGACTGCACTGAGTGCGGTGGATATAGTTTAGAGCGTCCCTGTCCCCTGTGTGATGGCCAGTGTGGCGTGCAATGGAAGCGTGATTTTACTATGGTAAGCATACATGCAAACATAAATTATAAAAAGCTTGCAGCGTGAAAGCTGAGCTACTTTAACTTGACTGGCTTTTTACCCCTTTCGCCAAAACATTTACTTATTAAAATTTTTATCTTTTCCTTTTACAGTCGCATGCCTGTGGCAAAGCTCGTTGGCATGGTGTGTGTCCCAGCTATCATGAGGCAATGACACATTTAAATCCACTTGAAGCTGCTGCTGCTGCCAATGCCACTTCCTCCGCTGCTCCATCTACCTGTGCCTCAGCGGCTACACACTTACGTTTGGCGCAGGAACTGTGTCTGCGTTTGGAACAACTTTCAGCTGGCGCTCATACGTGATTGCTTTAACAAATGCTTTGATATTCGTATAAGCGAGTGCAGCAGCGTCCTAAATGTTCCTCAAGTTCATCACTGATTTAGATAAATCAAATCATCCCAACCTTCTGACATACAGAAATTAATATGTAATACTTTCATATTTACATATGCTTACATAAACTTCGAAAATCAATATACACACTGTACACAAGAGAAGATTTGCTGCAATGTTAATCTCCAGAAGAAAGGGTTTATGATTTCAAATAATTACATTATCTATGTACATATTTAAGTTTCTAATATTTGTAATTGAAAGCGAACTTTCTGTTAAGACTTACATTCATTCAGAGGAAAGAAGAAAAATGACGTATTTTGTAATGCTTTTGTAATGATAAATTAGGATAATTAAGTGCGAAGCAGTTACCGCAGCCTTTGGCAAATGTAATTAAGAGTCAAAATAGTTGTGAATTTTTAGCGGAATCAGACTCAAAAAGAAAACAGAGGAGAGACTCAAAAATATTTATGAAAACTGAAATGGATTGAAATTTAATTCAAATATAGTAGTTTACAACAAAAGCCAAATTAATTATAATTTGAATAAATGAGCCATTACCATGTTGCATGTTAAAAAAAAAATCGTATTAAAAAATAATTAGAAGTCAAAACTGCTCAATATATATTATTATTATATAGTCACTACTGCTCTTATACACATACATTTCGAATGCTCAATTGATATGCGCTGTGCCGTACGTACTTCTGTATATAAGGAAATTTAAACTTACTTATAGCTAGCTATTGTTGAAAAAAATAATTTCGGTATAAATGCTTAGGCTTAAGAAAATTAGTGAAAACACAAAAATAAACGGAATTATGCGTTCTTAGATTTTCTGTGAAAATCTCTATTTTATGCTATATATTATTTAAAACAATAAATATATGTAAGTTGATTGGTTGTAATTGCACAATATTCCGCCAAATAAGTTTATATTATTTGTATGTTAATGTATAAAAAATAATTTAAAAAAAAAACAAATATCTAAATTAAACTTTCGGTTTTGCATAGAAAAAATGGACTTTTATTCTTTACGCATTTTCTTCACAATAAAGAAACCCATCGATATTCATTTAAACCACATCCAATAGGTGCTAGAGTTCATCGCTATAGTTTTAAATCCAGAGCTATAAATCTGTGGTCATAAGCAATAATCGCCTAAGTCGAAAAACCTGAATTCGAGAAAAAACGCTTTAAAGATTTGGATTGTAATCTTAACCTTATGAGGAAACCAAAATATTTTCGCCTATAACTTTTTAAATAGCCTAGCCGGCGAGATGGGGCCCCTATTATGAGTTGCATTCGATTTTCGATCTTCGCTGGCTATCGAAGATCGAAAGTGAAATTCGTATTATGAGCTATGCAAGCGTGTCGATATTTTCGTTGAGTATCGAATTTTCTATCGAACAGAATTTTGCTCTCGTTGGTGTAGCGAAATGGTAGAAAATTTTAAAAATCTATGATTTCGCATTTGTTTTCTTACTTTTTGGCGGCTAGACACTAATTTCAAACAATTTGTATTAATTTCAAGCAGTTCTAACGTCGTGAATAGTAAACACAAGCTCGAAAGTCTGGTTTTACATATGAAAGAAAATCCCTGTACGCTGTTGGCACGATCTCTGAAAACAAAATCATGGAGCTGTTTATAGTTTTAATATATTTTAAATAGATTTGAATCACGAAATTTCTTAAATATATTGTATGCGAAAATATATTCAAAAGATTGCACTTAAACTCTCACTTACACTTCTTCTCCTGCCCAGTTTTTTAAGAACTTCCTTGTGCTAATTAAATTTTTTTTACCACGCTTTTATAAACTCGGTTTCTTTTTTATTTCATTTTAATTTGCACAAATTTACATATGTATAAGCACACTATTTAGTTTGCTCTATCTGTAAACAACGCTTCTCAGCGGTGAAAAATATACTATTGTGAACAACCTAAAAGAGCGAAATTTACAATAGCGCTATTCTTCATCGAATGAGCGCCATAATACCAAATGAAAATTCGTTCGAACAGCACTTTCGACCACAGTCGAAGATCGAATGCAACTCATAATAGGGGCCGGGGATTTCACGTACGCATAGAATAGGGGTTGAAGAATACGATAGCATATATAACTCCATTCTTCCTTAAGTCGACTTAGGCGGTTATTGCTTATGACCACAGAAATATGTAATTGTGTCATTCTTAATGCATATATGTCATGAGTAATGTAACCAACCGTACTTCTTTCGGAAGTACAGTACTTCTTTTTGAGCCATTGTAATCGTACTTCGAAGTACAGTCAAATGTACTTCTTTGCAATGTTTTGTACCACCCAAGGCACATTGAACAGGTAGTATCAGTAGAGCAGCTGATTTGATTTTATTTTATTTTTCAAACTATTCGGTCTCTAAAATGTCAAATATTTTTAATTTCTTCACACAAAAAATTAAAAATAGTCAAAATCTTTTTCATGTGAAACTTTTCCCCCATACAAAACACGCTATTGAAAAGCGAAGTTTGGAACGTTCCCCTAACTCCGCAGCTCAAACGCTGATTACTGGGCCTTGCATATGATGGATCAATGCTTCGAGAAGCAAACAAAATTTACTAAGAAATTTTTGCAAAATCAGAACATTTTTGACACTTTTGATAATTTTTATAGAGAATTAAACAAGGATTACGATTGTATAATGTATGATTTTAAATCCCTAATTTACTGGTCTTCACTATGCAAATCAACTTCAAAAAGTTCAACTGTTAATAGCTAAGTTAGCATTAGGAAAATCTTGACCATGTTATATATAGAAATTTTAAGCTCGTTTCTGTAGCTTTATAACGACGTTAAGATGAAGTCTCTGCGATGAGCAGAACCCGATAACGATTTGAAGAAGTACATGATTAGTCAGAATCACGAAAAAATACAAGCTTTGGCAGATCAAAAAAAGCGAAAAAAAATTCCTCAAACACGTGCATCGTACAGTTTCCTAAGTAAAAACACTATCAGCTGATTGCCAAAAAATGCCTACAGCTGAGATCACCTGTTTTTTGGCATTTGCTGTTATCTTTTACAATTTCTTACATTTCTGTTACAATTTATTCAAAATACACTAACATACTAAAGCAAAAACACCAATACATTAACCAAAAACACACATACAGCCTGCCAGGAAAAACGGTAAGAAGAAGAGTTACTTTACTTATGGAACTGTACGAAGAACACGTGTTAGCTTATTTCATGTATAGAACCCTTAAAAAAAAGTTTTAGCCAATCGAAAATTTGGTGTCCGATATAAAAAATTAATGTCTCATATGTCAAATTGGAAATAAAAAATTAAGTTTTTCAAAAATATTGCTCCCAGCATACCAGCGGAGTCCGATAATAGACCGAAAAGGAGGCTTTACAGTTTTTTTAAATATTCTTAATCTTGTTTATAATTAATAAGTATTAAAGTGTCTTCATCATTTCTTTTTATTGAAAAAATGCTAAATTACAGATTGACATATTATTCAGTAAAAAACAGATAACGGAAAAATCCTGAAGTAAATCAAAAAATATTTTTCATCTTGTTTAAAGTACGTTCCTTTTAGGTTTGGAACCACTTTACGCCCACTCTATGGAATTGATTTGCCAGATCCAGCATATTTTTGATTAAGTACATCTTAAAAGTTCTAAAGTTAGACAAAAGTAATTTTTTATGCATTATTGTTTACCTCTAAATGCATTTGAAACTGCCATAACGTCAACACCTTTTTTTGCGGTACCGCTCTTCGGGAATATTCGGAAACGACGATCAGTTTATTATTACTTAATAGGTGGAATCACCCCCTTAGAGTTGTAATCTCCGTTTTTCAAACGGCATAAATTTCAGTTAAGGCTTGGTGGAAATGTACTAAAATGGCTGTTTTCAGCAATCAATTTTAAAATGTATCAAACTTAAAATTTAAAATAGCACAATCTCCTAGAAAAAATTGTGTAAACTTAAATTATAACGTCCCGATAAATTTAAAATTGATTGGTGAAACTGGGCATAACATGTTGTAAATAGGGAAATTTTAATCAATTTTTTATGGTCCAATAAAAATTTGGCAAGTGATATGACAGATCCCATCGCCTGTAAATTTCTTCGTTTCTTCTTTTACTATATAAGATAACAACCGCCAGGAAGAAATCTTATTCTTAAATAACCCATTTCGTAACTACAAAAACCATAAGGATTATTTGTATACACAAAAATAACTTGCGTAAAACAAAATGAGATCGTGTATTTCAATAACACATTTTATAACAAAATCCATGAAGAACATGTTTACAAACAAAGGATGTTGTGAACTTCTTATATGTAGATAGGCATGTGCATCTTTAATAGTCCAATTTCAATAATGTGAACAACATACAACTATCTTTCTAGCTTCCTAACTCTCCGTGGTGTACGTAAATTAATCACGATCACAACATCGGCGAGTACGCATGGGTCTCGTTAAGTCATGACCCCATGCGATCACTTACGTGTAACATTTTTTGGCGGAGCACATTAGGTCAAATGATTAATTTGGCTGTGCGAAAGTCCAATTTCGTAAACGCAATTTTACATTATTTTTTGTTGCCAATCTATAGGGAAAACTCCAAAGTAACCAAAACTTCACTTTGTTTTACACTTTCAAAACGTTATTGAAGCGTTGTTTACGCAATCTGTTTATTTCTTAAGTTTTAGGTGATTTTTTTTATAAAGTTGGAATAATTAAAGGAACATTTTAAATGGAAAACAAAGATATAATTGAGTACCTATGTCCCAATGAAAAGAAGTGACCTTTTATCATTTGTATGCAAAATAGAATAGACTTCGTTGCATAACCTAACAATTTTCTGATTAATTCCCATTTATGACTTTAGGGAAGCTTTTACAATTTGGTTAACTTTCGGTAAACAAAAGGGAAAATGAATTAAATAAATTGAGATGTAATGAGTTGATTGCCGCCGTTTTTAGCCAATTTCAAGAAAAACTCTTTCTTCTGGGTTACTAGTTTGGCTGCTAGGATGTTCGAAAAAAGAAAAGCTTTCCTCGGTTGTCAACCATGTTGCAAAAAGTTGGTGCTGTTGATATTTGCGAAAGTTCCATGAAACTCTTAGAAGAAAAAACGCTTCTTTTTGCAATTATTTATCAAAGAAAGACGAAAGTTATGCAAAACAATTTGGAAAGGATGCTGAAATATTTAGATCTGAAAACATTGCGTTTCTTGCTGATGAAGTGCTTTTCCAAATCAAAAAGCCAACTGTGTCGACCAGCAGCTGGATTCTAACTTTCGTTATAGCTAAAATATGCTAAAATGCGAAAGCTTACATTTTATCTGCTTTTCGCTAAAAATATATTAGCCTAAATTTTAGTATCTGCAAGGTCAAAATTTCCTTGAATTGTTAGTGGTAAATAGCCCATTTTGATGGTGATAAATAGTGAAAATGGAGCAAAAAAATTGCAGCCTCAATTTGGATTACATTTCATCTCCTGTAGCGTAACCATGGCTAAGTTACAAAGACACGCGCGCCGATTCACTAAGACTATTGATGAAACGCCTTCGCAAAAAGGCAAATCTTTGAGGGAATCTACGTATTGCTATTTTGAAATTTTTTGCCCAAGGTGAACAGAGCTTTGAACATTCTTTTCACAAATTAGTTTCAAAAACGCTCGAA